GGCCGCACTGTGTAAAAGAAATACAGTTGGCCCTCTCTGTCCATGGGTTCAACATCCCTTTGGATCCATAAGGATGAGGCAACCACAAGTTTGGCACCCCTGACTTAGACTAATACACCATGCTGACTCAATGTTGATTTGACTACAATATCAGCATAACACAATGCACATTCCTTTGAATGACAATAAATAAATAAATTGTGAGATACACTAGGAGGATGTCAGTTGTTCTTGTAGGAGCTTTGAACTCGAACTCACAGAAGCCCTAGACAGCTTGTCCAATATCAGGGATTCTGGGAGTTGATGTCCAATATAATTCAGATACTCAAAGCCTGAGAACTGCTTTTCATTAAAGTTGCGTACTAAGGTCATTATTGCCACTATGTGAATGATATCATGCAGGACACATTAGCATCATGGCATTGCCACTCAGTTGAGCTGCTCTAGCTACAATAGCAGTGTGTGTTTGTGTGTGGTTGTGTTATTCCTTCCTTCTCTGCAAACTGTGAAGGCATCTCAGCATATACCCACACTGTAGAATTAATGCAGTTTGAAACCACGTTAACAGCCATAGCTCAATGCTATTGAATCTTGGGAGCTGTAGTTTGATGAGGCACCAACATCTTTGACAGAGAAGACTAAGGACCTTATAAAACTGCCGTTATTCTATAGCAGAGGTCCTCAACCTATGGCCCAGGGGCCGGATACGGCCCTCCAAGGTCATTTACCCGGCCCTCGCTCAGGGTCAACCTAAGTCTGAAATGACTTGAAAGCACACAACAACAACAGCAACAACAACAACAATCTTATCTCATCAGTCAAAAGCAGGCCCACACTTCCCATTGAAATACGAGGGGTATTTTTTAAGTAAGGTCCGTTTTGTTGTAGACACTAGTAGTTTGCGCGCATACCGCAACGAGTGCGTCGTGTACCGGCATGCCTCGGGAACAACTGTGCTCAGTTTCCGCTCTGTAGCTAACCTGTACGGTTCTGTTCTGTGCTTAAAAAATGTTTAAGACTATCAACTCACCCTCCGCATGTGAGGTTCGCTCAGTGATACGGTTTTTGTCAGCAAGGAACCTGCCTGCTGCAGAAATTCATCAACAGATTTGTGAAGTGAATTAGATGAATTATGTGCAGGCAAATAAGAGATGCAAAAATACAAAATGACATTGCAGATGTACATAATCTAATGGCACCCCAATGTCCAGTGATAGAACATGTTTTACTTTGACTAAATATAAATGCTACATCATGTCCTTAAGATAAAAATAGAAAATACAACTACATGCATTAGGAAACTTACATATGTGTAAGTGTTCTGTCACTGTTAGAACACTACTGTTGGAATTTAGCAGCCATGGCAACATCCTATGCAACCCTGGAATTTACAGTTTA